TCAATATTGAACATTTGTATTGCTTAAAATTTTTTGATATGTGTTTTGTGCTTAGACTTTGTTTCATAATCGTGGTGTCATTGTAGTTTAGTGGTAAGCCTTTCTTTGCATATACTTTTGATATTTGTTCCATACGTTTGTTTTCCGTTAGTAAAAACTTGTTAAGCATGATTTCTTGATAATTGTTTTTGTTTCTTTGAGTTGATTGATTCTTGTTTGAGGAAAAACAAGTTAAAGTTGGGGAGAGTTAATAAGTGCTAAAAACTACTGATTTTTAGTATGAATAATTTGCACTTATTGGCTCGATTAATTGGTTTTCCATTAATAATCCCCCTTTTTTGTGTATATTCTGTATAGTTTATATTATAGTGTGTAATATGCGTTTTTGTGTACATATTGTTGAGTTTGATAGTTTTTCATCTGTTTTTATAATTTATAATGCATGGTTGAAGTATGGACCCATTTGAGCCAAGAAGGATGCTTCAAAATGCAGTTTTGACCAATAAAATATTGTCACTTGCGCTTAGCACATTTTTCAGCGCGGGTTCAACGTAGTTTTGATGAAGAGACAGTACTTGGAGTATTTTTGTTTTCCAGATCGCGCTTAGCGCGAGCAGGACTGCGATTAGCGTGCTTTAAGGTGGTTTAAGTGTATCTTAGGTGAGATTGAGCTTAGCGCGATCTGAGCATACTTAGCGCAGTTGTAATAAATTTTATTCTTTCTATTTTTTGTTTATCTCATTTTTGTAGGTATTCGAGCAAGGACATTTTGTCATTGTTGTATAGAGTATTGTATAAGCCCCTTTTTAAGTCACTTTTCAGCATTTTTTAGGTTATGTTGTTGGGAACTTTTGTCCCCAACATCATGAAAAACATTCTTTGTGTTGAGTAGCTTAGAAACAACTTTGGAGGTTGCATAGCGATGATCCGGAGTTGGAATTGCGTCACTTTGCTGGACACGGCGAGACATTCGTGTTCATCTTCCTTCTTCTTTATGTATTTTTCATTTGTTGGGGTTTGTATGTAAGTTTACTTTGATAGTATGTATATTTATAGATCATGGTTTGTATATGAGCTATTTTACAAATCTTAATCAGTGTTATCCTTTCTTTACTCGCTTTTTGTTTGGATTTGAGTTGCGGTAGACATATCCTCTTCGAATCTGGATAGGATGAACACCTGTTAGGTTCTGAACTCTAGAGATAGATTTAGATCTAACATTCACCATGGGTATCGATTCCTAATGCTCCGTGTTGTCGAGTTGCATAAGACATCATCGATGAGGCGATGCGGTTGTTCTCTCAACTTTGCGTTAGACATAACCTTTATTGTGAGCGATATGTGGGGGTATTGATGAGTGATTTAGGTTGTGTACAACGGATTGGTAGATTTGTGTATTAGATAGGTGAACGGACATCATTCCTGACGAGTTCTCTACCGTACTTTATTTACTTGTTCATATGTTTTCTTTTTGCATTTTACTTCCATACCATTAAAACCAAGTTTAGATATGTAGAGATTCTCAAACGACATTCTTTCCCTCGCACTAATCCTCGTAGAGACAACAAAACTGGGTACTTAATTAATTTTTTCTTCCCGCTTCAACATTTACTCATAAACCTACTCATCATTCCAACTGCATAACATATGTCAGGCGTGGTGTTACATAGATATCTCAGACAGCCAACCAATTATTTGAAGGTTGTAGCATGTACATCCTCACCATAATCATCAGAGTCCATTTTCTGATTTATCTCAGTAGGTGTGACTACTGAATTACAACTCATTAGCTTAAATCTATTTAGTAGCTCAAGTTCATACTTTAGTTGGTGCACAATGATTCCCTTTTCAGAGTCTAAAATCTTCATCCCTAGAAAATATATCACATTTCCAAGGTCAGCCATATCAAATGCATTCATAAGCAGCTTATTGAACTTGTTTATCTCAGAAGTACAACTTTCTGTGAAAAGTATGTCATTACATAAAGACACGCCAAAATCACACTGCCTTCAGAAGTATGATGCACATACACACCATATTCCATTTCACATTTTTTTGAAACCCATATGCTTGAAAAAGGAATCAATCTTCATATTATTCCAAGCCCTTGGAGCTTGTTTCATCTCGTACAACGCTTTATGCAGCTTAAACACCGTCTCTTCTTTGTTCTCTTTCAAAAATCCAAAAGAATATAAATGTCTTAGTATGGAGGAACAAATTTTTATTTTAAAATATTTTTCTTTTAATAAATGAAAGTTTCCATAATTAACCTTAATTCCACCTAGAACTCCTCATTTACCCCAAAAATAAATGAGTTCTCCCTTACTAATAACTTAGCCATTTGGTTTTTCTACTCATGATATAGTATATACTTCTAATACACTTCACATATGCACAACTACCCATATTACATGTCCTAACCCTTAGTCTGCCACTACCTCACAACATTAGACTACTTCATATGCCACCAACGTTGACTTTGGTTTCACTCTGAGTCAGGGTACAAACTCACATACCATCCATGTCCCCCTCAATCAAAAATTAAGCCTTAAACTCAGGTCTTTGATATGTCACCGTCACTTGTCAGAATTCCTAAACAATCAGAGGTTACGTAGCAACCCATGTCTCTTCATTCTTATGCACAAATACCAATAGCATCCATATCAAATAAATCTATCTCATCTCTGTTACGCACACCATAAGAACTTTTGTTTCCTAATGTTCATCTCATGATTGCTAAAGCTTTAACATGAAACTCTAAACCAAAGGCTTATGTTAGGCTCACACTGAACTTACTTCTGCTAAGAATGCCTTCACAAATCCTCAATGGTTTGGGGCTATGAAACAAGAGTACAATGCACTTTTTCACAACAAAACATGAACCCTCCCTTACATACCTAGTCGTGAAATTTTTTTTTTGGGTGTAGATGGGTTATTATAATCATAGAAATTACATATGACATAGTTAATAAGTGTAAGGAATGCCTATTGTGCAAAGACTTTCACCAACAACTTGGTTTTGATTATAATGAAACATTCTTTCCTTTTGTTAAACCCATGGTAATAAGAGTTCTCATTACATCTCTCCCACATAAAGGGAAGTTACAACAAATTGATATGATATAAATAATGCTTTTCCTAAATGGTTCTTTTCAAGAAAAGTTCTACATGCAACAAACTCCTGACTTTTCCAAAACCGATAAGTCTTTGGTATGTAAGCTACAAAAAGCAATATATGGTCTTAAACAAGCCTCACGGCAATGGTATGATAAATTACATCAAGAATTTTTAACTTTGGTTACGTTTCAAGCAAACGTGAAGGGATCGCTCTTTATACCATAGTTTATATAGATAAGATTCTAGTCACCGGTTCATCTATTAATATTATGCATGATTTGGCCTCCAAAATCAATCTTAAGTTTGATATAAAGAAACTGGACAAAGTTGAAGATTTCTTAGGGATTTATGTCAATTATTACCATGAAAAAGGCTATATCCTTTTGTCTTATACCAAGTATGGCATAGACTTACTAATAAGAGCCAAGATGGCATATGCTAATGGTATCCCTACCAAAATTCTAAGTATTTGAAAACTCATTAAGCATGACGCAGACATTTTTCCTAGAACTTAAAATTACAAGTCTATTGTAAGTGCTTTAAAATATATAACCATCATTAGGCCTAACATATCTTTCAGTGTGAGTAAAGCTTATCAATTTATAGTTTTTCATTTCACCTATCACATTCTATTATTCAAATAATACTCAAGTACCATAGTGGCATAAACAACTTTGTCCTCTGTCTTCTTCCCTCAAGTGTCAATAATAAGTTTTCTCTTGGTGCATATAGTAATAGTGATTGGACAAGTGATGTTGATGATCGTAGATTCATCTCTGAATTTTGCATCTCCTTTGGTTCCAATATGGTTTCATGGAGCTCCAAGAAGAAATTATTAATGGTAGTCAAGTGTAAAGCTCTTTCACACACTACTTTAGAGACACTATAGTTAGAATCTTTACTTTTTGAACTTAGCATCCATTCCTTCCTCCAAATATTCTTTGTGGCAACTTGAGTGTTATGTATTTGTCTCATAATCCTGTGTTTCATGGTCGCTTAAAGCATATAAACTTGATATTCATTTTGGGAAAGAAATGTTGATGTCCAAGAAGAGGTTATTCAACATGTTCCTTCTACTCTACAAATCGTTGACACCTTAACTAAACCTCTTGGTACTTTTTCCTTTCAAGATCTCCCGGCCAAACTCAAAGTTGTGTCTAAACCACCTTGATCTTGTGGGAAAGTATTAGAAGTATTGTTTACCTTTTGTTTTGTAAACTCTTTATATTTTAGTCTTAAGTTTGTTAGTTAGTTTAATGAGTTTATAACTTAGTTTTCATTTAGTTGAAGTTGTTAGAGTTTGTTACCACTCAACCAACGAATAACACCTCCTCTATATTAAGGAAGATGACTCTATTTTATACTTTAACTTTTGAGTTAAATTCCAGTAATCACTTAAAATGTTAAAAGTGATTGGGGAAGGGGAATATATTTCAACCGAGGTGTCTTAATTGTGGGAAAAAGTAATTTTAAAATTAAAGAAAGGACCAATTAATCATGATGTAAAATTAACGTAATGGTTTGAAACTTTAAAGTGTGTGGATCCAAAATAAAACATGAAATAATCAAGACACCAAATATAATACAAACCCATCATAATGGTCATGTTAGACACGCAAAGAGTTTTAGATGTATTAAGTTAACACTTAATAGAGGGATCAATTTAACCTTACATTAACAAATAGAGATCAATTTAAAACTTTTAAATGATAGAGACCAACATCAAACTTAAAATAAATGTAAGAGAATGTATATAAAATATAAAAATTTTGAGATACACAACAAATTATTGTATCCAATTTTTTTCTTTAGTATGAAATTTTTAGGCATATGAAATTGATCATCATGTTTTTGATCTTATTCTTTATAACAAATAAGACGCA